AAGAAATAAGAATAATGCCTTCTTGTACATCCAAATCAAAGGAAACAACAAGGAAACCCCCCCCCCCCAAAAAAAAAAAAAAAACTAAACTAAACATTAAACGGCTTACAGGTAAGGCAACGACGAGTCAATCCTCTCAGTGGCATGGTGCTATGGCAGGGAAATGAACAGATCTACAAGAAATTTAGAAAGCCGATTGTCAATGAATAGAAAAAAAAAAAAAAAAAAAAACTCCATATAGACATGGAGATGGGTAAAATCACCGTCATTGACAAAGGGATTCAAAAACCAATGCGTGTGGAGCTATGCTTCTCAGGTCGGCAATACCAAATCCCACTGAAGAAGAAGCCAAATCAATTGACCGCAAATGAGAAGAAGAAATGGGGAAGAAAGGGGTGGTAGTGGGATAATGAAGGCTATAATCGACAGCCTTGGCTGTCGATCATGTAGGGCAAAATCAAAACAACGTCGTTTCTCAACATAAACGACAGAAAATTTGACAATTATACTTAATCGACAGCCATTATTTTGTCGATAATATGGACATAATCGACAAAATATTTATCAATTATACAGCTTGTCATTTATGTATGGGAAAATCTGATATCATTGACAAACATGCATAATCGACAGATAATTTGTCGATTATGGACATATATTCGATAGAATAATGGTTGTCGATTATAAGTTTGTTAGTTATTCTCTTCTTTGCTTTCTAGTGGTGCCTATTTCCCAAGGCTTTGTTCCCGTTGAAACCTCTTTGAAAGCAGCTTGAACATCTAATACTCTTCTCAATTCTTCTCTCCTTTTCCTCTCCACCTCTAGTTCTCTCAAAATAAATCTCCATATTTGTTTCATCTACTTCCACGGTTGGTTTCAGACTATGTAGATCATTTCCATTTGAGTGAAACTGTAATAGTTGATCTCTAGCACCAACTCCTTGTGATTCAAGGTGGTTTCGTTGTTAGCGGTCAAATCTGTTTCTTGTTGATCTCCAACTATTTGTTCTCAATTTCAGTCACATTCAATCCAAATCTAATGTTACCTACTCAAGAACAAGACTCAGGTCATTTCTACTTGACCTCTATAACTCTAATCTCCCTCTCTCCTTTGGTAATCATTCTGAAAACTTAAAATTTCTTAAATCAATTCCATAATGAAAGATTTTACACTTGGTTGATCAAGAAATTGATTTTTTTTTTTTTGGAGAAAATAAGGAAAAGTCCAACTAAAATTCCAGAAGTTACAAATCTATGGAAGGAAAATTGAAGTTTTCGATATAAAAATTTTGGGTTTTTTACAGATATGAGGAAGGAGAATGATTCTTGCAGAGGGAAAGGTTCTAAAGGTCGATGGAGACAAGATTTTGTCAAACTGGCTCACAATTTTTTTTACATATATGAGGAAGGAAAATTGAAGCTTTCAACATAAACATTTTGTTTTTTTTATATATATATATAGAAATTAAGCCATAGAAATATGGGTTTACCATTGCTCTTTTTTTCCTCTTTATTATTATTTTTTTTTTGAGCTGCTAGATTTTTCAGAGTTGTTGGTTTGCTTGGAGCTTGGAGGAGGTGTAGAAGAAAGAGAAGAAAGAAAGGTTGGAGGATGAGGATGGAGCATTTAATTAATTTTATTTTTTAATGTATTAACTAATTAAAAAAATGTGAGTTTTCCTTGTTGCATTTACACATCATTAACATTTTAAAAATTAAGTGATTTTGTGGCAATCTAACGTTCCATTTGTCACTTTCGTCAACAAAAAGATGAAATTGGTACCAAAAATAAAAGTTTAAGGATATTTTTGGTATTTTTTGAAGTTTAGGGACAATTTTGATACCAAATGAAAAGTTGAGGATCAAAATGGTACTTTAACCTAAATTAAAATATAATTAAATGTATTACAAAACATATTCTTAAATTTATAAATAGTACATAGACAAAGCTAAATGGGTAATTATACCTTTTATAATTAATTTATATGAAAAAAATAGAAATTAATTTTGAATTTACTAATTATTTAATTAAAATTATCTACATGACATTAATGTTAAATGTAATATTTATTTTTACATATTTCTTATGTAAACTTATTTTAAAAAATATAATTAATGTATTCTTAATTTGTGTTTTAAAGCATATATTAAAAAAGTTCAAGTAAAATACCTAAATAAACAAATATACACTGATATAGAAATAATTTTTTTATATAATTTTTATATATCATTAAATAAATAAATA